TTCAGAATTATTTTATCATTTTATGAGCAGTTTAACATATTTACTCATGTGTAAATGGACAATGGGTGAAGATTAGAGAGGCTTCATTTGCAGTGAAGACCTCAAGAGAGTCTCAAACAAAAAATGGTTGCACTACCCGTTAGAGATTATAAATTGTGGATATCAAATTATGACCACAATCTCTAACCTTTAGATATTGCTTTTAAACAGAACAGACACAATTTCTACCAAAAATGAATATATATTAAACAGGTATATATTTTTAAACAGATATATCTATCTTGATATCTATATTTATGTATCTATCTATCTACGACAATCAGCCTAAAAAATGGAGTCATAGAACTCAGTACTTTACTGGATAAATATTTAGAGTCTTGAGTTTGTAGTTAATTCTTTAACTGAATTACCTGGGAAATCCCATGGACAGAGGAGCCTGGTGGGCTACAGTCCACAGGGGAGCAATGAGTCAGATACAACTTAGCAACTAAACCACTACCAGAGAAAGTTGTGGAGAGAAGTTTTTCGGCTGACTTACTGGAATAAAAGGGAGACACCCTAAAACTGTAGGAACATTCAGAAATCCCCCAAAGCTTTCAAGCAGTCCTAGCCCATGAGAGAGATACTCCATTCCTCATTATCTGGGTGTCCATTTCAACCTCACTTTGCAGACGTCAATGTTAATATTAGCCGGAGAAGTTCTAAATCCTTGAAGAAGAGAGAGTGCACTCACTGGCCTGTTTTAAGATGTATCATCCAAACAACAAAAGTTTAAAAGACCTAAAACTTTAATTTCCTAGATTTAACATTAGCCAGACCACTCCAGCTCACACACATGCACTCCTAACCACATGGTCCAAAGGTCAATTACTTCGTATTCATTTCTTTCTCCAATAAAACATGTTTGTTATCAAACACTAATAAATGAATGTACTGGTACCTTTGCCTCTTTATAGACATCATGGCTAAAAAATAAAAGTGATGAAATAAGTCATGGTCTGCAAAAATCACAACAGAAAATGGTGACTGCGTGTACAGCGTGTTAAAGAAAAGGGAATGGCACCACTGATTTGATGCAGGTCACCTGGAGAAAAACTCATTTGCTCTGATGCAGGTTAGACCACTGTGGTTAAGGCTTCAGATGGAGCCTCTCTTTGGCCCAACTCTTCCCTCAATATTATGCTAAATATGGTGCCTGATGAAGAGTGGCCACATGAGAAAATATTAGGGATCTGGTGCCTGCCTACGGAGGTACAGATTTGCATCTCTGCCCTCCATCTAACATCCCCCAAGTGCCCGTTACTGGCCACTAACACCCACAAAGTTATCTACTGGGTATGCCACTTTCAAACCTCCTTACTCAAATGAGGTTCAAACAGAATCTTTTTGACTTTAGGTGAAGAGTAGAAACATTTTCTAACAACCTGAAAAAACTATACATAGAGTCAACTGAAGAGTGACACTTAACAATCTTACAAAACTTTCAGAGGAAAAGGAACTACATAAGGGGAAAAAGATTGCCAACATATGTCTCCCTCCAGAATGCCTGTAGGTCAGTAACAATTACCTGGGGGACTATGAAAGGAGAATGCCTCTACTGAATTGCTTTTAACATTGGTGGAAAGAAGTGATGATGAAGGGCTTCTTTAAATAGCTTTGAGAAGGCTGAGTTTTTAAAAACAGTAGGTGATGTCCTCAGCATCCCAGCCAAGCTATTCACTGCAAATACCACCAACCAACCACAGCACAACTGACATGGATATAAATATTGATATCAATAAATCAGATACTGCTGAATCTACACGTAGAGCTGAAAGAGCCTGCATCTTGTCACTTCACTGGAGATACATGATTCATTTCTTGGGAGGAATCTTTGTTAAAAGTAACATTCTCACAAAACAGCCTTCCATGTGCCATTGTGTTGACTGTGCTAGAAAAACCCATCATATGGACTGTGATGGCAGGGGCAGTCCAGCTCTCCCTGTCTCCTTACAAAAGCCAGCAGACTTCATATGAATCCAACAACCAGATGTCCTAACATTAGAGAAGATAAATCCGTCAATTCAGTTTAAAGAAAGAGAGCAAAAGACATATACAAGTCACACCTACTGGTCTCAGAAATCCAAAGTTCATTGATTTTTGAACCTAGACCTCTTGCTTTCTCTCCTTATTCTCATTTCCTCACCCCTACTTCACCTTTATATTGAATACATTTCTCAGCATAATTTCTGAACTCAAGCATATTGTATTGCTATCTCTGGATGCTATACACAGAGATTTCATCTTTCTTTGGGAAGATGATCTATTCAATAAAAAGGCAAGAGAAATACAATGCCAATCTACTATAGTTTCTGACTTTTCCTAGAACATACAGCTTTTGCTTATAAGATGTGAAACCAATGCATTGCTCCCATTACAATCAGTGGTCTTATGATTAGTTCCAGATTTTTTATTTTGGTTATTCAGCCCTTTAGAAAACAATGTAAGGGAATTCTTATCCTTCTGTACACCTTATTTCAATTCCACTTGTACCCAGAAATATAGCCAGTCAAGGAAAAGGGTTAATTTGTTACATATATGATGTAGTATTGTTGACATACAGTCTCTATCTTTCCCCTCCTTTAATAGAGAAACACAGTGTGATGATAGCCATAGCCGATTAACACTATAGCCGTAAAATTGATTCCAACACATTTTCTCAGGTGAAAGAAACCCTCCATGTTATACTTTTCAACATTTGAGATAAGAAGTAAGAAGGTAAACATGCTATTTCAAATCTTGCCATAAGTTAGTAGCACTGCAGATAGGAGTACTGTGTTCAACATTCCAGGATCTCCGTACTCTTAAGATACTTCAAACGTTTAATCTTTACGGTCACCATCAATCAGACAAAAGCTTTGCAGTGTCTGAGTCAGTACCAAGTCTGATTTTGAGACTGCCATTCTCTGCCTTCTCTCAAGGAAACTTTAGCAGATAAAAATGATCTTTTGTTAAAAAAATTAATTAATCGACGTATAGTTGCATACGTTACTAGGTTTCAGGTGTACAACATACAGCGATGGGATATTTAAATACATTAAAGTCTAGTAACCATCTCTCACCAAACAAAATTGTAACAGTACTATTGACTATATTCCTTATCCTGCATATTTCATCCCTGTGACTTATATTGGAAGTTTGTACCTCTTAATCCGCTTTATGTATTTCACCCAGCTCCTCACTCCTCTCCCCTCTGGCAACTGCCAATTTGCTCTCTGTAAGTCCATTTCTGTTATGTCTATTCATTTGCTTTGTTTTTTAGATTCCACATATAAGTGAAATCACATAGCATTTGACTTTTTCTCTTATTTCACTTAGCATAATATCCTCTAGGCCCATCTATATTGTTACAAATAGCAATATTTCATTCTTTTTATGGCTGAGTAATAGTCCATTGTGTGTGTATGTGTATCACATCTTTTTTATCCACTCATCTATCAATGGACATTCTGAATACTTTCCATATTTTGGCTATTGTAAACAATGCTTGCTATGAACATGGAGGTGTAGGTATATTTTCAGATTAGTATTTTTTTCTTCAAGTAAATGCCAAGATGTAGAATTGCTAGCTTGTATAGTGGTTGTATTTTTTACTCTTTTGAGGAACCTCCCCACTGTTTTACATAATGGCCAAACCAATTTATATTCCCACCAACTGTGTACAAGAGTTCCTTTTTCTCCCCATCCTCCTCAACAGTTTCTTTTTGTTGTCTATTTGATGATAACCATTATGACAGAGGTGAGGTGATACCTCATTGCGGTTTTGATTTGCCTTTCCCCAATGATAAATGATGTTGAGCACCTTTTCATGTGTCTGTTGGCAATTTGTATGCCTTCTCTGGAAAAATGTCTATTCAGGTCTAATAAGAATTATCTTGATGTTCCTGTTTTGCTTCCATTTCTGCATCAATGATGTGCAAAACTCTGAAGGGTTAAGGCCCAGACTGTCTCCAGCCTGGGAAGCAAAGCTCAAGGAAGTGGGACCAATTAAAAGAAGGAAGGGAAGGGCATTCATGCATGTCATACCCTTTCTCTTCCTGGTGAATGTGAGTTCAAGAGAGCTCATGGGGGAATCTCATTACATGTTCAAATGTCCTTACACAGCATCAAAGGCCAAGTCCCAGTTTCCACCCCCTACAACCCAGCCCTAAATGGTTGCACTCACAGGAATGCGAGCTCTTAGATATCTGAGAGTTACAAACCACAATAGACCCCCCCAGGAAACACTGGTCAGGAGGATATCAGTGCAGTCCAGGCCAAAGTCACCTTTCAATACAAGTTCAGAGCAGCATAAAGAAACATGTGCTAGGGCAGTATTTCTCCAGGGAGCTATTTCAGATTCCATATAAAAGTAACTTGTGGCCTTGGATAAATCATTCCTTTCACTTATGTGCTGAACGGGAGAAAACAAGTCAACAACTGATGCATGCAAAAGCACTTGGAGGTGATGGATGAAGACATTATGGTGCATTTTGTCAATGGCATGCCATTAGAGAAAACCATTTCATAGAGTAAATTAAGAAAACAAACCAGCTACGTGACACATTTGGAATTGCCACTGGCCAGACTGGTTTTTCTCCTCCAGGAATGAAGCTGCATGGGATGGACATGATCATTATCAATCAGACTCCCTTTCCTGGGGTAGCTGCCCATGCTTGTCTGGAGCTTAAACCCCGGTGAGCACTTCCCCAGAATGACGGCCACTCATATAACTGGAGAAAACTATGCATTACAGACTCTGATTTTTTTACTGCTGTCTTGAACTATTATTTAAATTGCTTATTGTTGTTTAACTTCATGTGTCAATATCTTTTTTTTTTTTTTTTTTAGGACCAAAATGACTTTTCATGCCAAGAACTGGGTCTTACAAAAGAAGCTTTTTGGTACATCACTGGGCTTATGGTGTCCAATAAATATTTACTGATCTGATCTGTGATTAATTTCTTCTATCTTTCTTGCAGACCTGGCTATTTTCTGCCAAACAACTTATTAAGCAAGCAGGTCTTTGGACTTAGATGCTGGGAATGCAGAGATAGAAGATCTTGTCACTGATCTCAAGAAGCTCACAGGCAGACAAGCAGTGATCTGAATGTCCTACAGGTAGATGTGTGTGTGGGGTGAGGGGGTGGCTATGATGGTATCAAGGGTTGGGGGTATTCTGGGTAAGGATAAGGGAACTCAGAAAAGTTTCCAGGAAATATGAAGATTAAGTTGTTGCTACTGAAGCATTATTGCCAGTATGTGCAAGGGCATGTTGGTGAGCCCAAGCATGGAGCATTCGGGTTCCAAGTCATTTGCTATTTCTGGAGCTCCTACTGGAAAGCTCGGCCTTGGATTTCCAAGGTCATCCACTAAGGCTGGGGCAGAAACAGGCTATGAAATCACAGCTCTTTCCCTTGGTAAGTGGGCTCTGAGAGCATTCAGATGTACCTCATGGTAACTGTGGCTTCATAAAAATCAAAGCTGATTGATGGGCACAGGCTCTCCGCTCTGAATGTTTAGTCTACTTGTGCTTTTAGTACCACTGTGGCCACGCTTCCTAATGGAAATGCATTTTTCTCTCTCACCATTACCCTGATATAGATGCTCTCGGATATGAAAGGCCTTTTACCTCAAGATTTTTGTCTTGTAAGGCATCCCTAATTCAGGAAGGAAATAAGAAGGGGTCGAGAAGAACCTACCACAAATGTTTTGTCAGGTAGCTCAGAGAGGGAGAGAGAGAGAGGAATTTAAAGAGCTTGATTTATGGCTGGGCTTTGCAGCTCCTTCACCCTGACTCAGGCCAGTTCAAGGAATTCACTTGCTCATGTCAAGGGCTCTAACAGAGAAAAATAAGCTTCATGTTTCTTTCTGTATCTGTAAGAAAGTATGATGGCTGGCAGAATAAAATCTTCCATTTTTAAATAATAGCTCACTGGGCCCAGGATCCTATGATGTTATATCAAAACTCTGACAAATCCACTGTCAGGTAGGAAGTATTCCCATTACCCAGGTGTGGAGCCTGAGGCTGAGTGAAGTGAATACCACATCCAAGGCTACCCAGATGGCCAATGACAGAGCTGGGATTTGAAAACAACCATGTCTGGTGCCAAAGTTGGGAGCTCTGACCCGCATCCAATGTCTTCCAGACAGGACATGCATATGCATGTCAAAATGCATGACGGAGAGCAGTCCAAGTTCAGAGGTAGCAAAGGCAGAAACCAGGCACCCATCTCTTCCAGTAGAAGGAACCGGCTGCCCATCAGAGAAATTGTAGGTGGAAAAGTTGAAGGGAAAAAAGTGAACACTCATGGGAACACTTGGGGGTCAGATTCTGAGCTTTTTTCAAGAAATCTAGTTTAATAAGCCCCATATAGGCAACTTGTTCTTGGGTACAAAATTACATTATGTCTGGCCAAACTCATCTCCCCATCTTCGATTAGTCCTGAATGTCAAGTTGAGAGAGTGGTTTATGTTCCAAGTTAAGAGTTCGAATGTCAGCGCAGGGCTATCTCTTTGAATTTGCTGTGTGAACACGGTGGTGCCACGGACCCTCTCTGAACATCTCACGAGCTGCAGAAGTCATTTTATACAGGCATCCAAAGAGGCTTCCCAGAGAGGCTTTTCAATTAGCATGGTTTTCTCTTCCATGGAAAGGAAGGACAGAAGTAGATTGGTAGAGGTGACATTTTGCAAAGGAAAAGAAAATAGCTTTAAACTTCTGAGTCATACATGCAGCAATCCTGCTTCTTCACTGCAAAGTAGGAGAAAAAACATTTTGTGTTAAGAAGGTGATAGCCAGAAGTGGGCTTAGAGCCTTCTATGAAACCGCTCATTAAGACTGTCCAGTCCAGGACCCTTCCCCACTTCCAATGACCTCCTGCTCCATGCCCAGCAGTATTTCCAAATGCCTCAGCTCAGAGCTGAATTCTAAAAATTCACTTAATCTGAACTCACTTTGGTTTAATAATTAAACAAAAAGTACCTTAAAATTTTTAGGAAAGTGGGAAATGAGAAGGCATGAGAAGGGCATGAAAAGACACTGGAAAAGCAAAATACTATGTGGATGTTAACTCTATCAAAGCAGCACATTCTTGCTGGATGAGGGCTGGGGGAGGGGGACATTATTCTGGGCACAGCAAGTGTTTTATCTGCAATTGACAAGTCCCCAATCCTCCCAGCTTCTGTTTCTCCCTACTTAAGACCTGGGTCACAGTATTTATTTACTTAAGTGATGGAGATGAAGGCAGGCTTAACGCTGGCCACCTGTCAGAACAACAGTGACCTGCCTCTTAAGGGGATTTTGGCATCCCCCAGCATCTTTATAAGACAAAAGGAGCTGGGGAGAAAATTTAGAGAAAAAATTCACTAATTGAGCTTTCAAAAGATGGTGAGATGAAATGTAAAGACCCAAAGGGCAAGAGAGGCTAAGATCCATGGGTGCCGTTTAATGCGACTTGAAAGAATACAGCCCCCTTCCTGTTCTGAGATTAGATGGGATTTTGCAAACTAAGATACCCAAACTGAAAAATCAGTCTCCCTGATCTGCCTCTAGCAAATGCCCTTGGCATTCTTCATGTTCTTTTTTTTAATTTATTTTTTAATTGGAGGAAAATTGCTTTACAATGTTGCGATGGTTTCTGCCATACAACAATGCAAATCATCCATAATTACACATATATCACCTCCCTTCCCTCCCCACACCCCAGCCCTGCAGATCATCACAGAGTGCCTGCCTGGCCTCCTTGTGTTTGTTAAACAGCAACTTCTTACCCGCTATCTAGTTTACACATGGTGGTCTAGAATAATGGAAATAAAAACAAAAATAAACAAATGAGACTTCATGAAACCTAAAAGTTTTTGCACAGCAAAGGAAACAATAAGCAAGATTAAAAGACAACCCTCAGAATGGGAGAAAATAATTGCAAATGAAACAACTGACAAAGGATTACTCTCCAAAACATATAAGCAGCTCATACAGCTCAATGGGTAGAAGACCTAAACGGACATTTCTCCAAAGAAGACATATTCTTGTAAAGAAAGATTCGTTAATGGTTTCCAATGCCTGCAAACAGACACACTTTCTCGGAAACAATGCTCTTGTAGGTGAGAAGTCAACAGGCAGGTCCTGCCTGGAGAATCTCAAGGCAGCACAGGAGATGGTGTTTAATAAGCGTGTGTTACCACTTACTAAGATGCCAGGCAGTGATCTCCACATCACGTAACGTAGGCCAACAATGTACAATGAAGTCGTCATCATCACCATCACCCCCCTTTTACAGGAAGGGTGAGTACCCAGCCAAAGGTATCCATGCCAGCTTGAGGGGAAGCCAGGCCCCGGGGAGCCAGGCGCTGGCTCTAGGCTCTGTGGTCTTCTGCACCGCACCGTGCTGGGCTTCAAGGGGGAAGGACGTGGTGCAGCTGGATGCAGTCACAAAGCCCTGTGCGGTGTGCTTCAGCAGGCCCCGGGGTGAGGGCAGGGGAGTGCCCCAGGCCCCAGAAGCCTTCCATCAGCTCTTGGATGGCATCCTCCTTTCCGTCCTAGAGGTCGGGTGATGAACAGGATATTGACTACAGAGTCAAATGGACCTTCCATTTCCCTAGGGAATGACTTTGAACCTTCCATTTTCCTAGGGAAAGTGACTTAGCTTTTGGAGTCTCAGTTTCCTATCTAAAAAGTGGGGCTTATGTAACCTCTCCCAGGATTCTGAGACCCTGATGCTGGGGAAGACTGAAGGCAAAAGAAGAGAGGGGCGCAGAGGATGAGATGGTTGGCTACCCTCACTGACTCAATGGACATGAATTTGAGCAAACTCCAGGATATAGTGAAGGACAGGGAAGCCTGGCGTGCTATAGTCCATGGGGTCACAAATAATCAGACACGAGTTGGCAACTGAAAAACAACAGAAATAAAATAGGAAACCGACTCAGCAGAGTGCCTGGTGACAGAAGGATAGAAAGTGCATGATGTCTACAAGCTATTTCTGATGTTTCCTTGTTATAAAGCCCAGCAGAAAAAATGTCTGGCCTTGGGACAGTCATCCTGGGCCCCCCCGGAGGCAGTTCACACATATGGAATGGTGAACATGGACTGGCTGAAGGAAGCTCTGTCTGAGCCAGTCCACCCCCTAGATTAACAGACGGGGCTGCTTCCTGCCCCCACACAATGGAAAGCAATTTTAGTAAGTGCTTAGCTTAATTAGTGTCCAGACGTGCTCTCAAGGGCTGGGCACGCACACTTGTCATCGCGATCATCCACCTGTCTCTGGAGAGCCTGCTTTTCCAGAAGTCTGGGCCTAACTCCCTACACTGTAACCAGCTGAAATTCCCATTCGGTCAACGCTCAGCTCAGCACCCAGGGAATGAGCCTGAAATCACCACCCTCTTCTGCTGATGCAGTAGGTCAAGGAAGCATGGTTAACATCCACAGCACATCTCAGCTACTAAGGTCATAGACCACTTCTGGCTCTGGGTGGCCACCCAAGACACTTCATGAGTATTAACAGCATGAATATGAGCCAGAATTCTGGCCTAGGACATTCTCTGTAATTTGTTGGTACTGAAATCAAAGAATTCTTTTTGTGGATTATACCAAAGGATGCCCCGTGGGTAGGAAGGGAGGAAGATGTGTCAGAATGCTACAATCCAACAGGCACTGGAATGCAGATGTATGGGATATATTGCAGATTCAAGATCATGCTGCTTTTCTTTAACGGCTCTCCCAGAGAAAATAAAAGAAATGAAATACGGTTTTCCCCACCCAGCCCCCTGCTGCCTCCTGGCCGCCACAAACATTCTAGTGGTGCGTGCCGCCTTAGTCTCTAAGTCATGTCTGACTTTCTGCAACCCCACGGACTGTAGCCGGCCAGGCTCCTCTGTCCATGGGATTTCCCAGGCAAGAATACTGGAGTGGGTTGCCATTTCCTCCTTCAGGGATTCTAGTGGGGGACATTATTTATTTAAAAATAAAAAGTGAGGGGGGGATGGTGACTGCTCCTGGGGACCAAAGAGAGCATGCATGCAGGGGTTACTCTGTTACCCACTGGTTTGTCTTCTCAATACCACACACATGTCCACAACAGTCCCTCTTCTGCACAGCCCCTCTGTTCCTCTAGAAATTACAATAGCTAAAGATGAAATCCTCACCTTCTGAAATCTACAGCAAGACAGATGACAGCATGATGGAAGGAAAGAGTACGCTGAGTGCCTTATCGATCTACCTGCCAGCCCGTGAATGGCAGGTAATAAAAATTTATTGAAAATTAGAAAAAAAAAAGTCACTTATTCTAATTCCTCTGAAAGGGAGTACCAATGTTGCATATGAATAAATCCCTCTTTCCCCAGGACTAAACTACCACCCTCCCACCAGCCAACCCTCCAAACAGTACAGATTTAAAAATCTTGCAATTTTATTTGCATATAAAGGCCGCTAGATATAGAATATCACAATAAATTTAAAGAAACAACTGCTTTCCTAAATTTCATTAACAAGATAACATAAAATAGAATAAAGCTCAACAGCATTTACAGTGGGAAAACAGAAATGACTATTAGCGACAATATTTTGTGCTAGCGAAGATTGCATCAACACACAGTGCAAAATGGGGGGGTGGGGAGGGAGAAGGACGTAAGAAGACAATTCAGGGTATTTAAATATAAAGGACAACTAAGCCTTATTTTAGTTAGCTTCCATTGCATCCATTTAAATCTATACACGCCTGCAAGTGTACCTAGATTTAACTCAAGCTCTTTAAGACCTTGAGTTCTGAGAACATGCGTCATCTCCTTCGGACTTCTGATGCTCCACTATCAAGCAGCCCTTTACAGTTGTACTGTCCTTGGCAATATTAAACTCCTAACTTAGTCATCATACACAAAAAATATTTATATATATAAATCCATATTGAAAAGGAGTCTGCACGCTCTTTTTTTCAACTGCATGAAATACCTGCTCTTGACAGATTCCATTTCCATATTTTTAAAGCTAAAATAATTTAAAAGAAACAAACAGACGATGAGACCTTGTATAACCACAATATGGATCTCACTAGCTAAGCCATCCTCTAAACGAGAGTTGTTTTTTCCCCTTGACACTGCTTTATAGTGAGAGTGTGAAGGGAAGTCTTTTCCACGCCTACTTTTGTTGCAAAGACTGCTCTAAATCTGGGCCACGTCTGCAAAAAAGAAGCATTCCCAAGAAAAACAACACAACAACAACAAACATCATAAAAATAAAATACTTCAAACAATACTCTTAAACTGTTGTGCAAATCCGGGTGGTTTTTAAAACACTGCCTACCTGCTTTATTTCTTTTTTTTTTTTTCCAGCTTAAAGCATATTAAAATAAGACCTTTTTCACCTTTTCAAAAGAAAGCTTGGCTGTCCTTTGGCGAACACTAACAATTTACAATGGCGTGGCCTTTGAGAAAACAGAAGTCATTTTACAAATTCACAACGCTCTTTTGATTCGAATGGATGCCCCATTTAAAAAAAAAAAAAAGAAGAAGCATAACCTCTAGCATCATTTGTGTTCCAGCAATTTACAAAAAGAACTCACAGGATCTGGAAATAAACAAGGAAGAGAATGTAAGTTTATAATTAGAAAAATGGCAGTTTTTTTAGACCTTTCCTCACATTCCAATTGGGTGTTAGGAGCTTCAGGAACCCTGTGGGTTTGGAAGGTCAAATATAATTGGAGGGTTGGTCGGTTGAAAGCTGACTGTACACGTTGAGGCATTGATGTACGTTGTGTAACCGTCGGTCATAATGCCATAACCTGTGGAGAGAGAGTGTCACACTTACTGTGAAATATACAAATGATAGTGACTCAGTGCAGGACTATCAGACAAGGAAAACAAAAAAGTCTTTGCCAGTGGGCAGTGAGATGAAATTCAGTGGAGCCCCCTCTGGATGTTACAGCTTTCAGAAGCTGCCTCCTGCTTTTATTTTCTTCAAAGGGGGAATCCTCTACTTCAAAGAAAAGTGATTCTTTTTAATTTATTTCAACACTCGATTTGTAGAGGAGAGGCTGTGATTTTTTTACTAGTGAGAATAAAGAAAAAAACATTTTTTCCCCATTTTTTTTCAAATATAATTTTCATTTCAAAGCCCTGTATTAACTATTGAGTTCCAGGGAAGAAGGTGAGTAACATAAACTCCTCAACAGCAAACACACCCTTTACTCAACCCCAAATGGGCTTCAAGACAGGCAAGACTCAGGCAGGGTATTGTACTGGCACTTGGGAGACATGAATGCCTAGCTTCTTTATCTATAAAATAAGCTCTAAACTGCCTCGATGAAAGTTAACAAAAAGTCAACTTTTAAAAATTAATTTATTTGGCTCCGCTGAGTCTCAGCTGCAGCACGCAGGATCTTCGGTTGTGGCATGTGGGATCTAGTTCCCTGACCAGGAATTAAACCTGGGCCCCCTGCATTGGAAGTGCTGGAATCCTAGCCACTGGACCACGAGGGAAATTCCAACATTAAGTGACCTTACTGTCAACTACAAACTGGGGCTTGCCAAGGGCATTTGCCATCTGCCTCTGTGGAAATAGAATCCCGTGTTGCTGCAGCTGTTGACTTTCAACATGCCCTGAAGGCAGGTCAGGATGGAGAGTGAGGCACTCTGTGCTCCAGGGAAACTGGTGGAACAGGTCTTTAGATAGCTAAGATATTTTCAGGAACTGATTTCTTGACCAACCCTCTGTTGTTCAGTCGCTCAGTCGTGTCCGACTCTTTGTGAACCATGGACTGCAGCACTTCAGGCTTCCCTGCTCTTCATCATCTCTGGGAGTTTGCTCAAACTCATGTCCACCGAGTTGGAGATGCCATCCAACCATCTCATCCTCTGTCGTCCCCTTCTCCTCCCACCTTCAATCTTTCCCAGCATAAGGGTCTTTTCTAATGAGTCAGCTCTTCGCATTAGGTGGCCAAAGTATTAGAGCTTTAGCATCAGTCCTTCCAATGAATACTCAGGACTGATTTCCTTTGGGATGGATTGGATGGATCTGCTTGCAGTCCAAGGGACTCTCAAAAGAGTACTCTCCAGCAGCACAATTCCAAAGCAGCAATTCTTCAGTGCTCAGCCTTCTTTATGGTCCATCTCTCACGTCTATACATGATTACTGAAACAACCATAGCTTTGACTACACGGACCCCATCCCTTGCATCTCTTCATATCTAGAAAAGCACTAAATCCCTCCATGGTGACATCAGCTCCTCGTGACTAGCAGAAAAGCTTTTATAAAGTAAATGCTTGATTGCACTGAATGCCCCTTCACCAAAATCTTATATACTGACATTCCTCCACTACCTCTTTGGAACAGTTTCTCAGTTATCTGAGCTGCTGTCTCCCAGACGGCAGTTCTCATTTTGCCCCCAAATAACACTTAAGTCAAAACTCTCACATTGTGCATCTTTTTAGTCAACATTTTCTTACTTGAATTGTGTGACTTTGATGCTGAGTTCCATTTTATTCAAAAGAATCAGGAAATAATCAAATATCTGAAGTCTTCCTGGGTAGCTCAGCAGTAAAGAATCTGCCTGCAATGCAGGAGACTTGGGTTCAACCTCTGGGTCAGGAATATCCCCTGGAAAAGGAAATGGCAACCCACTCCAGTAATCTTGTCTGGAAAATCCTATGGACAAAGGAGGCTGGTGGGCTACCATTCTTAGGGTCGCAAAGAGTCGGACACAACTTAGGAACTAAACAAGAAACCATCAAATGTCCAAGTGGTCTGGAGAGACGCCACCATAGGACACTGCTTCCTACACCACTGGACACTGGCTCAAGTGAAAATACTTCCCATAGGCAGTATAAATCTCTTGTGACCTGTGAGAGGAAAGCTAAGCAGGTTTCTCTGGGTCTTTGGTACATATGTTCATATCTCTTACAAATTTCAACACGTTGAAATTTTTAGCACGTTTGCAGATTCGCACACGTCCCTGGATACCTTATATTTTGTCTTACAGCCTCTGTAATTAAGTCTGTAATTCTATGTCGGTATCAGGTTCTTATGGCACACAAGACTACATCTGTGAAAAAAGGAATTTATCAGGACTTATACAAATAACTGATAAGGCTTTTTTTCTTCCATTTGCTAAAATTTCTCTAAATAAGCCTGTGGAGAGCTTAATGAGGGTCAATGGAAAAAATCTCTTAAGAAAAGAAAAGAAGCATTTAAAATGTGCACTGTTTAGTTCTGGGGTCATAAAGTCTTGTTATCTCTCTCCATCAAGAGGCTGGTATTTGCCCTCTCTCTGCCCTCTTCAGCTGTCTTAAACGAATAAAAGCGAGACAAGTTTATTTGAATATGATCGCCTTCCCTTTAAGCAAGTTTATTATTTGGGGACTTCAGTGGAATTCCTCAATTGTCTGGCTATTTTAAAGCTAATTAATGATTTTTTTTAAAAGGATAAAATGCAAACTTATAGGTGAGGATGCAGAAATTCATAACTGCTCCCCAGAAATGCTATTTAGACATAATCTTCCATCCTTCCCCTACTCCCAACTTGTATCAGGCCTTAGAGAAGTGCCCTCCTTTCCAAAGAGTGTGGTTCAAAGTCAGGGCAGGGTGATATCCGCTCTCAGGGAGCTGGCCCCTGCTCTCCATCCACACAGCTCATGCCTGCACTCGGAGCAAGCTGGATTTTCTCTGACCCCAGTAGGATGATTTCAATATGCTGTTTATCACCCACCTAGCCCGGAAGCCACTGGATTGAGGACTTTGCAAAGAAAACTTTGGTTTTTCGCAGCATCAGGCCTAAACTCACCTGCAGGTTCATAAATAACTCAGAGTAACAGCAGTAAGTGAGTGAATATGAGGCTGCCCACATACATACACTCATTGCACACAAACATATGAAACCAGGAGATGATGGTACAACCACAAAACCTAAGGTCTGTCTGTCCCAAGGCCCAGGGACCCCCGGTTTGAAAAAGTGAGGAGAGACAAAATCTAGGGCTTCCAGTGAGGCTTTCCGATTCTGTGAACTTGACTTCACAGCTTACCCTGAAAGGCAGAAAACAGCAACTTGACCAGTTCCCATCTAGGGGACATTTAATTATGCTGTTTAACCTCAGCCCCAACTAATAGCATTGATGATTTCTGAGAAGTCTGAAATGGTTTTCTGAGCTTAGTAAGGAAAAGTCTACCTGCAAATGTGTAGGTTCCGCCACTTCAGTTCTATATCTTTCATTGCATGTGCAAAGTTATTAATATTTTTTGGAGAGTCTTACCTTGTGTATATTCCATATTAACTGTAATATTTATAGGTAGGAAAAGGCCAAGGACATTATTTAGTCTCAAATCCAGGCCACTTCTAATGCTCTTAAAGAGAAAATCTGTCCTTTATTCTGTCTGTACTGCTCTGCGATAGTGGTTATCAAACACTCTTTATCAGAGTCCTGAGAGTCCAGAAGTCATCTGGGGTTAGCGATGGGTTTCCCAAAAGGTGGACCAGACTTGGTTTCTTACTCCTTATGGAGGAGGCATGGCAACCCACTCCAGTACTGCCTGGACAACCCCCATGGACAGAGGAGACTGCTGGGCTACAGACTACGGAGTCGCAAGGAGTTGGACATGACTGAGCGACTGAGCACGCACATTCTGCTTAAAAGAGAGCAGTTCACAAAATACTTCTCAGCCTTATATGCAAGTGTTTCTCATAACATTTCATCTCATTGAAAGCATTCCACAGGTAAAGAGTTTGGAAACCACCACTCCAGTTACTCCCAGTAACTAAGGTCTCCATTGTGAAATGAGATCATGGCTAATGACTGATAATGTTGTGAACCCCTTTCTTCTGGTCTTACCTTCATGGATTCCACCAAACACATGGAGTTTGGGCCGGACTCGCCTCTGGACTGTGTTTAAAAGCTCCACGCAGCCCACTCTCTGAAGCTCCTTTGGAACCCAGTCTCGAAAACCTAAGGGTAAAAGGCAATCAATACTCTTAATTTTCTATCTTCAGGTAAGGTTTCATTTAGACTTTCAGGAAGCCATAACTCACAGAAGGTTTATTACATTATCTGTAATCCTAGCCTCCCCATTAAAGCTTACAATGGCTTTTAAGGAACTTTTCACTCGTTACTTTGTCTTCTTTAGGATCTTGAATTTTTTTTTTTTGGTTTCCATTTTTTTTCTTCCGTTAATTAACATTTTTCCCCCCTGTGAGGGATTTGATTTATTCAGCCATGGGCTTCAAATCTTCTTCATGGGCCCAGTGACATTTATTCCCGGCAGTCCCATACTCTCTCTTTTTCTCAATTCAGTTGCTTTCTTTTTTTAAAAATTATAGCTCTCTTAGAGCAGTCTACTTCCAAGATGTAGACTTAAAAGAAGGGCTGGGAGGGACTTCCTATAAACTGGCCACAAGATACCTTATTCTCTTTATTTTTATTATCATTTTTTATCTTTGGCAGCACAGTGTGGCATGTGGAGTCTTAGAGTTCCCTGACCAGGGATTGAACCCATGCCCCCTTGCAGTGGAAGTACAGAGTTCTAACCATTGGACCACCAGGGAAGTCCTTGTTCACTTAAACACATCAACTCTTAACCCTTGGTGGTTCCTGATGACCCAAGCTTGGGAATGCCAAGCTCCTCCTCTGGTCTCCTCTCTAGCAACTGGGCAGCAATGGTGACCCTGTGGTGGCATGCAGTAAGCTGGGGCTGATGGCTGCCTCTATGTAAAAGCCACTTAGTTCTATGCCTAATGCAGAAAATCCATAAAAACTGACATCAATTATAGCAAGTGTCAGCTATCTGAATGATTATGGCCCAGAACGGAATCCCATCGCCTCAGCAGGATGGCGTTTAAGAAAGCAGACAGACCAAAAGGCTAAGTCATAATCAGTGGAAACACATGCCATAGCTCTATTAGGTGATTTCTACCACTCAGAACTGATCAAGCAGAAAGGGAGAGGCCAGCTCACTCCACTTTGTTTGGCAAAACAGTAGAAATGAAGTTTCAACATCTCTGTAAAGACATGCTGACTGGGGAGTGGCCAGAGAATATGGAAAAGCATGGAATACAAGCAAGGGGCCCTAAAAAATATTCAATCAGAGATTTTAAAACTTTGTTAATTAGAGGAAAAAAAACTTCAATCCACAGTGATTGGGATATTCCCTCATGGATGTATTTTTTTTGAAGAGGGAAAACATCTCATTTCATATATAATCACCTGAGAAAGTGTCTTGCTTGTACCATAATAATGAAGTCCCATGTGTCATGGTTCCTCTCTTAACAGGAAAAGATTCAAGGCCAATCCCCACATCCACCTCCTACCTTCTAGTCCAGAATGCTCACAAGAATTCCCAGTAACTACACCGATAAATGTTCAGCTTTACCTAATGAAAACTTTGACCTTTTATTAATAGGGCTTCTCTGATAGCTCAGTTGGTAAAGAATCCACCAGCAATGCAGGAGACCCCGATTCAATTCCTGGGTCAGGAAGATCCCCCTGGAGAAGGGAAAGGCTACTCACTCCGGTATTCTGGCCTGGAGAATGCCATGGACTGTATAGTCCACGGGGTCGCAAAGAGTCAGACACGACTGAGCGACTTTCACTTTTATTAGTATTTTGGAACTCTCCGATGTAGATCTTACTCTGCTACATGCACAGCCGCTCTCTGGGTCACTCCATCTTTACTACAAAGAGAGGGATGGCAGGCTCTCTATTAAGAGTTCCCGGATGGGGGTGGGGTGAATTGGGAGATTAGGATTGACGTATATACACTATTGATACTATGTATAAAATAGATAACTAATGAGAACCTACTGTATAGCACAGGAAATGCTATTCAATGCTCTGTGGTGACCTAAATGCGAAGGGAATCTCCCCCCAAAAGAGAGAGATGTATATGAGTAGCTGAGTCACTTTGTTGCACAGAGGAAATCAACAAAATATTGTAAAGCAACTATAAGCCAATAAAATTAATTAAAAAAAAAAAAGAGTTCCTGGAACGTGTGAATTCTTTGGAGGCCAGAATTCAGACCGACTGCCACTTGCTTTTGTACCAAAGTTAATGACTGTTAACAACACATCAATTGTTCTGTTCAAAATTATTTTCCAAATAATACTTCAGGCAGGTAAACATTTCTATGCTGAGGATGCCCAAGTCCCTGACAGTAAACAGCCTTAAGAGTAAGATCAAGCCCAGACCTAACTAGGTTACTCGGGGAAAGGATCGAGTTGGCTAGGATTCGGTCTCTAGTGTCTCTCTATTTAGCCAACAATTTAATGACTTAGTCTCCAATGACTGCAAAACAGGGAAATTAATTACTTATGACTTGATAAAGGTTACTGATAAGTATAACCGTGTAAAGTGTGGAAGAGATGGGGGTGGGGTAGGGAAAAAGCACAGGGATGGAGAGTCTGAAGCTTCGAAAAGTCGGGGAGCGCTGATCTTGTGCAAACCTGTATAAATTCCCTGTCTGCAACAGAACTGGCTCCTTGTCTCATTTTCCCTTCACTCCTCTTAATGAAAATGTGCCACCGTGGCCCATGCCCTGGCCCTCCCTTCCGCTGTTTCTTTGTGAAACACACAGCACTTCCCTTGTCAGGGCAGGAAGGCAGCGCCAAGTGGCATGGGTGGGGAGGGGGTAACATCTACGAAGATTAAATTCACATCAGGGGATGTGCGTTAGGGATTTTTTATTTTTCAGGTTGACAGAGGAGGGAAGTGACATGGGTAATAACACCAAACCACAGAAAAAAAATTACAAAAATCATTTATTTTTGCATTGTTCTCCCCCTCTCTCCAAACCAAGAGGATCAAGAACACTTTCCTAGCACTGAACATCTAACAATTTAAGACGACAGATTTCATGTTATCTAGTTTTTAATACAATTTTTTTTTTTTAAAAGAGGAAACTCTCCTACTAAAAAGGAAACATCTGGATTGACAGAGAATACCTTCATTTGGACAAGGATGTGCCAGCATAATAGACACTCAGTAGATGGGAGGATCAGGGTGGTAGTCCTGTTTGAAAAGGGGCTTCTCAAGTGGCTCAGCAGTAAAAAAGCCGCCTGCCAAGCAGGAGATGTGGGTTCTATTCCTGGGCCGGGAAGATCCCCTGGAGAAGGAAACGGCAACCCGCTCCAATATTCTCGCCCACGAATCCCACGGGTAGAAGAGCCTGGTTGGCTATAGTCCGTGGGGTCGAGAAAGAGTCAGACACGATTTAGTGACTAAACAACAACCTGCTTGAAAAATATTCTGTGGCTAAACCAAACCACTAACAAGCACATGAATCATTAGAAGATAATTATATAAATCAAATAATCATTTTCTGACATACAGTCTGGGTAACTGAAGGTAGCTACGGTGCATACTGGCAATCTAAACCTGGATGCAGGCTCACTGTATCCATAAGATCCAGCATCTTTAAGTAAGGTTCAATATACTGCGCTGTGGTTAGTCGCTCAGTCGTGTCCAACTCTTTGCGACCTCGTGGACTGTTGCTCACCAGGCTCCTCTGTCCATGGGGATTCTCCAGGCAAGAATACTGGACTGGGTTGCCATGCCCTCCCCCAGGAGATCCAGGGAGCGAACCCAGGTCTCCCTCATGACAGGCAAATTCTTTTCCATCTGAGCCACCATAAGTCCTTACTTAACACCTTAGCTTAAAAAGAGAGAGAGAGAAAAGATTCTTTTCCTGTATAACTAGCACAGTGCTAAACTTTTAAAGATCTCCTATTACATGGAAAAGGAAAATGAGTTCCTTTGAATGAAAGATTCCATCATTTCATTACCATTCAAAAGCCCTGTGATTGGGAGGTCTGTGTCTTCCTTCCATTCCCCACCCCACCCCCTCACTCCAAAGTGAATACAGTTCTTAAAATAAATGATCAAGCTCAAAGGACTGTGGTGCTATATCCTCATTTGATTTTTTCCTGACTTGACTAAATCAAAAAAATTTAATTTCAAGAACACCTGTAAGCCCAGCAGAACTGCTGGGTTTAATTATCATACTGGGTTTCTTTAAAGACACTGACTTTTCTTTTTTCAATCACTTTTTTTTTTTGGAGGAAAATTATTATGTCCCTGAAGCATTAGTCATTATGCTTGGGGAAAAAAGGCATCACAGATAACGACAGGACACCTTTGCTTCACTTACCTAGAGGAGGTCCGTGTGTCATGAGTATGTCAATGCCCTCGGGGATGAGGTTCCACTTGTCCAGCAGAGACTGACCTCTGGGCAGGTTAAAGCCCCATCCATTAAACCACGGGGTCCTTTGGGGGAGATAATGTACATGGTATCAGGCCAGCAGAGCCACATTTCCGCTCTCCATTTCTCTCTCACACATTCATTCCCCTACGGTTTGCATTGCTCTCTTTTCTCTTTTTGATGGTTGGCCCTGGCAGCAGGGTGCTTTTTTGTTGACTGCTTCAAAACCAATGCATCTGAAAGCAAGTGTGGAGCCTCCGAATTGTTCAACTAGAAAGCGGCACAAGAGCCTTTCCAGTGGAGACTTTCCCAGCAGACCTCTATCAAAATCTTAACAATGCTTTGTCTTCCCCCAAATCTCAGTGCTTCGGAAAGATGCCCAAGCCAGATCCGAAGCCTGTCCACTCTTGCTAGAGTGCCTCAGAGCTAAGAAATTTCATCAGCCTCCCTTCTTCCTCACCATCACTATGGAAGGGCTTCACCAGAAAGATTTTTACTGAAATTCTTGGAGAAATAGACAAGCGCTCTGAAGGCAGAAACCTGTGAACTTAAGAGATGTTTTGAACATCCTGGACTTGAGAATGCTGAAAAATGTTGGGAG